GGATCACTGTGAGTTGGAATTGTCTTGGTGGCAATGAGTTTGAGATGCAAAGGGAGAATCGGGGGCCCCAGGAAATTCTGCAGAGAAGGGAGTCTTCCTTGCTCAGAGGCAGCGGGGCGGTGTGCACACAACAATCAAAGTGCACGCTGACAGAGCAGATGCTCAGTCACTGCTCCTGACAAAGCCCGGCTCCGTGCCGGGTCCTTAGCTTCTCCCAGCTCAGGGGAGAGAGACCGAACATGTCAATGGAGAAGTTGTGGTTTCATGGCCTTCAGGTCGAAGCCAACTCACAGCAAGCCACGTGTGGCCCAGTGGGACCGTGCCCCACAGGGGTTTCAATGGCTGGTTCTTTCTGTGTGTGTTTTGGGGGGAAGTAGATTATCAGGTCTTTCTTCCAAGGTGCTGCCAGGTAGATTCGTGCCTCTGACTTTTTGGTTAGCAGCCAGGTACATGAATACTTCCGGCTCTCCGTCCTTCTGTGTACAACAACGAAGTGGAACTTAATAAGAGCCACCACACACGGGGACAGGACAAAGCAGGTCAAAATGCGATCACCAAGAACCAAAATGCTACGTTTGCCTACAGAAAAACTCTTACACTAAAGTATTTGAGGACGCGCTAAAGACCGCCCAAAGAGATCCGCTCGATTCCAACTCCTTGTGATCCCACCCCGCCAACCCCACCCACTGCGATCAAGCCAGTTCTGGCTCAGAGAGGCCTTCTCTAGGGTTTCTGAGACTTAAATCTTTGTAGGGGCAAAAAGCCTCAATTTTCTCCCATGGAACAGTCGGGATTTGTCCCACTGGCCTGGCAGTTAGTGGCCTATACCTCAACCCACGGTGCCACCATGTCTCCTGGGCTGAAGAAGAAGTCGTTTGTGCTAGCCTCTCTCTTTAAGCTTCTGTCAGATTGGGGAGCGGACAGGGCTAGCCGGACAACAAGAGGAGAGAAGTGGGGAGAGCAGAGTGGGGAGGGATCAGAGTGGCTGTTTGTTGGTGTTTCTCCTTTCCCCTTAAGCCGACACATGTCCAACTGTCCGCTGTGCTCCCAGCAGTCACCATATGCTCACAGAGGCTCACGTCACCGTAAACGCCAGGGTGAGGTGCTGTGCGATAGAGCACCTTGGTTCGTTTTCCGGCACCCCAGTCAGAGCGCATGGCCTAAGGAACGACCCACCTCCCTCCACAGGCCATCAAGGTCATGGCCGCACGACGCGAACGGTGGCGAGGGTAGCACAGTCTTCCCTCGCAGGTTTATTCTTGTGGGAAGCTAGCAGAATTGCGGCCCGACTCAGCCAAGCTTCTGAAAGGTCGTGCAATTTTCAGCCCTTAACAAAACAAAACAAACCCCCAACTCACTGCCTTCAAGTTAGTTCCAACTCATAGCAACCTGACAGCACCGAGCAGAACTGCCCCTGTGGGTCCCCACGGCGACGTTTTATAGAAACAGAAAAGCTCACTTTGCTCCCAGGGAACAGCTGGTGGCTTCAAACCTCTGACTGTGCAGTTAGCAGCCCGACATAGAACCCGCTACACTACCAGAACCATTAGAATTTCACTTTTCCAATGAATTCTTAAAACATTTCGTCTTCTTAATTGTCCCGTCGCATAATGCAGACAATCATCGTGGTGCACCTGTGACCCTTCGGTTATTAGAAGGAGTTGTGAGGTTATTACAACTCCATCCTGCCTTCATTGTGCATTTGAATCATGAGAAGCTGATATGGGATGAGCGGGAGGAAGTGAGACTAATGGCTCTGTGAACTTGGGGTTGTTTGCGTTCAAAGCCTGGCTCTTCTACTCAGCTGCATGTGAACTTGGACGTGTTATTTAGCCAGGCCCTGCCTCACTTGGCCAGCTGTAAAATGGAGCTCATTTCCAGGATGGAGCAAATGCTCAGGCT